AAAAGAGACGTACTACAATATCCACATAAATTTCAGTGAGAAGCACATCACGCAGCCGTCCGGAATTTGCTAACTTCCGAGGATGTTAGAAAGGTAATGCCGAATCAGATTTTCTCACGGTAAAACCTTATCCTGCTTACGTGGTTTTCCGGTTTCCACTCCATCTTCATTTCCGGATAACCGCTTTTGTCACCACCTTCTCCTGCACAGCAGCACAAGTTTCCTAAGCCGATGACCTCGAGGGAGAAGGCATGAATATCCAACTCTCATCATTAGCGCGTTAAACACACGTTTCCGTTCCTCTTCCTCGTGGCACGATTCCACCTCTCCTCGGGCTTGTTTAATTAATTAATCGTTGACGTTTGTACAGAGCAGTGTAGCGGCATGCCCGATCCCAGGAGATGATAATTAAATTGATAATCCATAGGATTAATTGTTTTCTTTAATCTTTTCAACTCTTCATTGTATAAGGATTAATTGTTAATTTAATCACGATTTACCATTTTCTTCTCCAATGGTCTGCTTTCTTTTAATGCATTTTTCTTTTGTCTTGTTTGGCAGAGAAGAAAAAGGAAACGTTGAAAGGAGAGAAAGCAGGAGGAGGAATCACAATTGATGATCAGAATTCAGAAGGGTTGTTAGTTTTATGTGTATTAATAAAGCAGGCAATGTCTGCGGTGGTCACATGTGAGGAGGCACTGGTTTTTTATGCCATTACCGTCGCTAGAGTCAATTTTTCTTTGTTTTTATTATTTATTTTCTTTGAAATTAAGTAGTGAGAGAAATGGCAGCTCCAACCTCGTGTCCCCCCGCTAATGGCTTCCATGCCACAAACTTTTGAAATTGAATGGGTTTCCATGCATTGTTGCAATGGATAAGTCACTCACTAATTATGTATGAATTCTGAAATATGAGATGTTTGTTAAATGATGAACTATACAATCAGGTACTTGATATATTGTTCAAAGTAATTAGATGAACTTTAAAATATAAGATATTTGTTGAGTACGAAACTATACAATAAGGTAATAAATATATTGTTCGAATATTTTGACAACTAATTGAAAAGGTTTGGGAAGTAGCATTACATGATTATTTTGAGGCATTAATTAATGTAGATATACAATTATACATCCCTTTTTCCAATAGTTTTGTTGAGTCAAGCATTGAAGCACATGGATTTTTTTGTAGACACGTCGATGGGGGAAGTTAAGTAGAAGGAAAGTACTATAATGGATTTTGCATGGCAGAAAGAGATCAAGTCCACATGCAAATGTCATCTTGAAATGGAGACAGTGGCGCCATGGCCAAAGCGACTTTCAGAGAAATGGGAGACAGGGAGAACGCTATCTGCTATCAGAAATCTGATCCCCCTTCTTCCCATTTTCCCACATGTACTTCTGTCCATCTAGACATGTCTAGACAACAAAACTGTACATGCATTTTCAACTTTTCTTCGTTTTGATGATAGAAGAATATGTAATGAAGTAAACCAGATTCGATAAATACAATCATAACCTCAAGTCAAGAAATACTAATTGATTGATTGGATAAACACAATACATTTTATATTTGAGGTAATGCGGAGCATAAATTGAAATCTAAGGGGACAAATTTTCAACAATTGAGGCAACTAGGGAATTCAATTCCTGCAGCTGTATCTCCATCATTAAAAACAACTGAAAATAACTATAACTAGTATGAAAAGATCATCAGAAGGCCGTCTAAAGAAGGAACATCTTGACTCTGATCATCCATCTTAATCTCTTATCGAGGCACGCTGAGACCTAGCTCTGTGCAAAATAGAAACTGCAGGAATTAGCATCGTCACAAGTTAAGATTTCAGTTAACTACAAGCAAAGAGATCATCTATAAACAATCAACAGAGATCATATTCTAATCATTCATTAAGCAGTAGTTTATGTTCATTTGATTCTATCCAAGTATGTCAGAAACAGCATTTCACAAATTATTACATCCAATCAACAGATTAATTTTCTTTTCAACAAAGAAGGCAAAACCTGAAAAGTACTTTTCAATGTGTTGCTAAAAAATCATTACGACCTTCTGAAACCATGTGCAAGCTCCCCAATTCAACTTGTGTCCCTGAGGGTTTGTGCCCCTGTTTCAACACACCAACTTATCAAATAATTGTGGATTTACATTGTCATACTCACAATCACATAAATTCCTTTTTCTGTAAGATTATCCAAATCCTGCATTCCTAATTTCACTTTTCTAGTTAGTCCTTATGTTAATTTTAGTCAGAATAGTGGGATTCTACCTCCTGTCCCATATAGTCCATTAGATCCTGTTAGGATGACATTGGAGCCACATTTCCTAAATTTTTATGATCAGCCTTTTCAAAAATGCTATTTTCAGATGCATTCTTTGTTTTCTCAGCTTATGCGATCTATATCCCTCACCATTTCCCATCAAGTAGACATATACATGCTTATCACTTCATTTTATAAAGGAAAAACTCTCCTTTCTTTTACTCCAATCCCCCCCACCCACCCATAGGAGAGAAAAAAAAAAGGAGAGAGACCAAATAGAATTTATGTACAAGAATACCTCAGTGCTAATATGTAATTGCATGATTTTATATGTATGGTACTCAAGTATGACACATTAACTGGCAAAGCCACATCATCAGACAAAAGTAAAAAAAAAAAAATTCATAAGAGACAACAAAAACTTTCAAGGTTGAAAAGGCAAGAGAAGGGCGAGGGAAGAGTGAAGAATTCAGAGTTGCAAAATTGATTTACAATTTTGAAGGTATGGTTTGAGGCTGTCTAGAGCACACAAGTTACAACTGCTGCAAGGTATATAAATAAAGGGTCATTTTTTAGTTTCTATTTGCCATCACCAGTTAAATAGTGATATTTGCCTTTCAGGTTTAAAAGGTCTACAAGGAACAGGGTAGATGTGTCCTGCAATATCAATTTTACACAAAAATGGTTCCTTAACATTATGATGATAGCAAAATTAAATGACCTAAAGGGCAGCACAAAATATCCTCAACAAAGACAATGTTATGCCGGATAAGCATAGAGCAAAACACATTGTTCACCTGAAACCTTATCAGCAATAAAGGCATGTTTCTTGTCCCTTGGCTTACCCCAGTTTATTGATCTACAAATAACTATGGAAAAAAAAAAAGATCATCCAAAAACGAAAAAAGTTCAAGTATGCAACCAAGAATACTTTAGAAATGCAGTCTTAGCTCACAGTAATAGTTTTCAATTAAAGAAATTCAGAAACAGATATCATGAAGGAACTACTTAAACAACAATATGTTGCATTAACAAACTTAAAGTTAAAAGTTGCTTACAGAAACTACATTACAAACAATTGGAGATTATCAAACTCCGGGATTTGCACTGCAAAGCATACCCTGAGACAATGACCTCGAGCTCCTCGAATCGATGCCGAGGCACGAGGTAAGCCGAGCTGAAGACACAGCTGAGTGGAGAGGAAGCAGAGACTGAAGAGAACCCAATTGAGGAACTGGCCTGCAGCGAAAAACCAAACTAATTAGAACACAAATGCTAGCAATTTGAAGAAACCCATTTGCGCAAAGATGCTAAATTACAAGTCCCAACTCCCAGCACTCAAAAAGCAAAAGAATTGAAGCATGAAATCAGGTTCAAAGGGCTTGCCTTGAAAATGTGGGAGAAGACCTGGTGGTAGGGAGAGAAGACGCGGGTTTGGGTTTTAAGGTGGATTTGGAGAAGGACGATCTGAGGAGAGAAAGCGTTGGCTTTGAGAGAGATCTACAGCGAGAGGCCATGATGGAGAGAAGGCAAAGGGAGAGAGAAATGCTAGGGTTCTTGCAGTAAGACCTACCGGTTGCAGATGAGCAAGCAATGTAGTTGGGGGGTTTTTCTGGGGTTTTAGACAGTAAGCCCGTTTAGCAATGTAGCTGGACCCAGCCCATTATGCTATTTTTTCAATTATTATTATTCTTTTAAATATTAATTTGATAAAATTGAAAAAATATTTAGTATAGCATAAAGTTGTTTTTTATTTTTATTTTTATTTTGGTTGTACAATGGTAGAAAATTATCTTTTATCCCCTATCACACTTCATCCGCATGCCATACGACTCGAATTCAAGACCTTATTTATAACAAAAGGAAATAATCACTAAACTATTTAAATCGTTAATAACACAAAGATATTTGAATTAATTATTTAGATGCATATGATAATTGATAATGGATATTTGATTATTAATAATTATTATTATTTATAAACTATTACATTTGATTTATTCAATTAAAATCAACGAATGATAATTATTTATAAAAAGTTAAAATAAACACCCTATTAATATTAATGGAATTTTATTATGTAAACAAAGATAATAATAAGTCTCATTTAAGTGCTCCACTGCCTTGCCCAAGTCTTAGGCAGTAGAATTCAGGGTATTATTATTATTATTATTATTTCTTTACTTCTTTGAATTTTTTGTTCTATTTTGATTTTTTTTTTTTTTTTTTGGGCAACAATAAGTGCCTAGTGTGCTTAATAGCACTTAAATGGGGTTTGAGCACAGCCTAGGCACAAGGCAGTGACTCAGCGCCTACCGCTGCCTAGCATTTTCAACAACTTTGCTTGAATATGCCTATTAATATGCCTATCAAATTATAGTTTACCTATTATACCGCTGGTGATATAGTTGCAGGACACATCTTTTTGGAAATGAGAGTTCATGAGCATTCTCTAATATTTTCAACTCAGCACAATTCATCTCTTTTCCAAAAGAATACATTGAGATCCCAAAAATACAACACAAGAACAGAATTTAACGAATGAAGATTCAACAAAAATTAACGTCCTTATTCCTCAACTTCAATTTTCAGCTACCGGACTTTACCTGTACCTCTTCAATTGGGTGGGAAAATGAAGTTCTCATCCGGCAAGTGTTCTGCCTAGTGTCAGCTGCTGTAAGCACATTCCTTAGACCAGAGTGATCCATATTGGTTAGAAACTTCAATTCTGAGATTGATTCTTCAACAGCTTCAGAGCAGGTTCAACTTCCCGGTCACAGAATCAACTGCTCCTTTTGGTCCTACTCAACCATGATTAAAGCGAGATCAATACCATGAGGAGTGTTTTTTACGTTGTTTTGGTGGTTTATTGTTTTTTTATATTATTGTGTGAATTACAGCATTCAACCAAGATACAATCAACATCCATAAATGAGAGAGAGATGAATGATTGACATGTTCTGTATCAATTAACCAGCAGCTAAAATCATTTTGAGGAGTCAAAAGGAAGTGACTAATACAATTTTAGCAGCAAAGAGAAAGGAAGCATTACCAGGTCCAACAGCAAGAACTGTCTTTGACCCAGCCAAAACCTGTAGAAGAAGAAAAGAAATAATAAGTGAAAAAAGGCAGTCTCAAGATATGACACAGCTACACATAAAACATCAGAGAACTAAAATGCTAAAATCAATGCAGATTACATCTGAGTTGTGTTCCACTTGTAGTAATATCTAACTCAAGTTAAGACCAAAAAAAATGTGCTTCATATTGATCAACCTACAATTTTTGGACAGTAACAAATGAAACTCTCTTCTTAGACACAGTAAAAATGATATAAAACCATAGGAGATGGTACAGGAACCATATAGAAAGAATCAATTTTTGCATCATGTCCAAATATTCTCCACCACAACACCTTTATCTGAACAGATGATCACACACTTGCACTTTCCAACAGCACTTGTCAACATACACTCAATTAGTTCAGATATACATTCAAGCTATTTTAAGGTTAGGTTATATTATATCCAGATACACACCTGAGTTCTTCCAGCATCAGCAACAACAAAAGTTGGGAGGCCAATGCTCTCAGCTGCTTCTTTTAATTTATTCCTGGTAGAAATTCAACATGTATCCTTACATTCAGAAAATAAAGAGAAATATTCAAGCATAACAGATGCAAGGTGATACATATTTAATGAAAACTAAAATATCACAACAAATTCATGCACTCACATTTCTTGTTGATTCTTGCATGTTACAACTATTTTAGGTTGCCCACAGTGCTCCCACTTTCTTACAAGGGACCGATTGCTGCAATCATTACCAAGTGAGGCAACTTGCTGTGATGGTAACTATAATATAAAACATCCATAGAGAGAAAATTGTGGAGGTGTGTCTGCTAAAGTGATATTCATGCAAAATGCTTATGGAGATCAAATTAGAGTAAAATTTAGAAATTGATAAGAATTTTGCTCATGTTAAGGAAAAGATATTACCTTTGCATCAATTCTGCATACATTCCAGTAGCAGCATCTGCGATATTTTTACAAGAAATGTTTAGTCAAATAACTAGAAAAAGACATAGGCTGTTATCTTGGGGCAAAAAATTCAAGGAAATTTAGGAAATCAAGATTAAATGAAAAACATAAAAGTTACAAAACAATTTAGGAATCTTACGAGCACACTGTGAAGCAATCTTCCCTGACTTCATCTTAAGATCTTGTCTAACAACTAAAACCTACAAGAAGCAGTTGCAAACTTGAAATCTGATAATTTTCAAAAACCCCATGGGGATATTATCTACTAAACTAAGTCTAATTCCCAACTTCATAAGTTACCATTACATACACAAGTCTATCCTATATAAATGAATTGTATCAAGCAAGTTTTCAGCGTTCTTTTGCAGAATCATATCAAAACGCACACTAAAATGTCACATTCACTGAAACAAGATCACGAATGAAACAGTAACAAGAACTAACTGACTAAAAACAGACCATTTTAAGCTCTTGGTCACTGTTACTTGATGAAACTGACAATCGTTGACCCTTCCCAGGTGGGAAATTCTTCTTCTTGGTAGGATTTTCCAAGGGCGTTGATAAATCCAACAACAACCCAAGAATGAAACCGATGACAAGCCCTGGAATGAAGTTCTCTGGTCTGAAACTCACTCCCAGCCATTCTCTTTCTTGCTTCTGCAATTTCTGATGGTTCACAATTCAGTATATGGAGCAATGGTATCTATACACTTACTTTGCCTGATTTTAAAAGTGGATAATTAAAAGAATCCAACTCAAATACGCATTTTTGCTTGGTTTTAAGAATAAATTGACCAAAACAACTATTGTAATATCTATAGACGTTATTGTTGCATTGTTTTCTGATTGTTTTCATTTGGGTACCCTAGAATTACTTCACTAAACCAAAAAGCTGCTCGCTTTTAGACATTATTTTCCTTTTCTTTTCCATCAATTTCTCAGCAACCAAACAGAGAAACAACTCAGAAACAAAAATTATTAGGTAAAAAGTACCTTATTTTGGGATTGAGAAGCGTTTCTTGACGATCCCCACATACTGGAGTGAGATAAATTGAGTGGTGAATACTGGGAGGTGCAAAACCCGAAATCCGTCAAAAAGAAGACAGCAATGTGCAATTGCAAGGGCGCAATTGGCTTAACAGAGAGGAAAACCCTAAAACGACGTCGTATGCTTCTTTTAAAAACCATTTTCAGTTACTCTGAACAGGACGCCGACGTTTGGAATTTCCTCGCCGGATAAGCCTCCCTATCGTACCGCTATCCCTCTCGTGTCCCTCAGAATTACACAAAGAATCTCACCCTATTAAACCCCAGAACAGGACTTTCCTTAAATCACGCACGTCAATTTGTCACCTTGATCGTTTCCCTCCAATGGAGTCCGAGGCCTCCAGTTCTACGCCACAGAACAACCACCGTCGCCGCCGGGACCCGACCCAGCCTCAGCCATGGTTCAAACCAACGCAACCTGTTGCCGATCGCATCGCCCG